CAAAACCCTATTCGAATTAATAAGGCCCTACAGTGGGGTTTAAGGGAGGGATAGGCTCGAAGCAACCATCACATGGGGTTGAACACTGAAGGGTTTAGGGTTTCGTCCGTTGTCGTCCGCAACTTTTCACGTGAACTCTTGTCTTAAGGCGCTGGCCGGCAACTCACTCCGTGTTGAAAAATCTTAGAAGAGTCCTTGTCCTCGGCCTGGAAGTAAGTATTATGTGTGATCGGGCCTTCCTCAAATCTGTCAGGGATTCTCTGGCTGCAGCTTTGCGCCAGCGGGGTGGCAGGCAAGATGTCGGTCCGTTCAGGGTTTTGGGATGTAATCACAAGATCTTCAGGCTTTAGCTGATGCGAGCATGTCTGATCTACGGGTTGTGGTGCTCATGGTGGCTCACTTGATGTTTTGGCCTCAGCCCGATCTTTGTCACCACATCCGTGCAGTCGAGTGACTAGCTTAAGCAAAGCCGCCTCAATTCATGCATGAGCCACAAAGCCCACAAACAAATTGAACCTGTAGGTATTGCAGGCAGGTGCTTTGGCATCTTCCCAGCGCCATGCCATCACAATGTTTTGAGTCTGCTTGAGCCTACTGCTATCCCCACGTTGCCTTGGTGTCAGCCCTTTTTGTTTCGGGGACCTCCGGGATTGAAGCTGGTAAGGGGCAGCCCTAAACCCTAAACCCTAAACCCTAAACCCCAAACCCTAAACCCTAAACCCGGGCAGGCTTGCGAGCTGAATTGGCTCAAGACTGCACAGCTGGAGCTGAAAAATTGATATTCAGGGCAAATGGGGGTTTCCCAAAATAAGGGGTACCTTATTTAGGGGTCCTTATAATAATTATAATAAGGATCCTATTATTTAGGGTACTATATTAGGGTCCCCTATTTTCGGAAACTCCCATATTCAGGGCAAATTGGCTTAACCGGAAAGGCCAACACTTCCACCGTCGCCCACTCCTAAGTTCGTGAGTCTCAAATCTAAGAAGTTCCAGGGCTCGAGCTCCTTCATCTCGATGTGCCATCATGCCAGCTGCCGGCTGATTCCATCCCACACGGCTTGTCACGATGTCCGCCTATCTCCGGGCATTGGCTGCCCTCGCGCCCTGGCAAGGTCTACCATAGGGGTTGCGTGATTATCAGTCCTATTGAGGTGCTTAATATAATGAATACCGTATACTATGCACCAAAATCCTATTCTATAATAGTTAATTAAGGCTCCTGTATCACTGCCAGCCTTGTCATCAGAGCTTGAGGGCGAGAACCACTCGGCAATTTTTCTACGATCCTGAGGTTGTGCCCTGCAGTAAATATGAAAAATGGCTAAGCCCACCATCGTGGTACTGAGATTAGGGACAGGCAACACTCTACGCATCATCACATTCAAATCCGAACCCTCCATAACAAACTCTCGGGTAATTCAACCCTTAGCCTACCAAGCTCATAACCCAATTTTGCCGGTTGTATACCGGGAGTGTAAGCGGTTGCATGTTCGTATCCCCCACCCCGAGCCGCCCCCCCACCTCCCAAATAGAAGAGCAAAGCAAGAGAGAGGGGGGTTTTCGAGGTTATAATATGTTATAATAATAATTATCCCCAAACCCTAAAAGCCTGATTCCTGCCGAGGAGAGCTGGTCGCTCGAAGGACACGACTCCGTTTCCGGCTCATGTATTTATTGATTGCTACTACTATGTTCACTATTTTCCTTATCATATCTTGTTGTTATGATGCTGTTATTATTGTCATGATTATCATTGCTGAAGAACGCAGCGTCTCATGGGTGCAGCCCTGGATTCAAAGCTTCTGGTCCGGATCCGACAAAAGTTCTAGCTCGATGATGATTTTGGGAAGGCATCCCGGCAGTCTCCCACATCCTTGTGCGAAGCCTCTGTTTCGCAGTCTGCCTCCAATTACCCATTGTCTGCACGTCTATGCCTATTGATAAGCCTTGGTGTTTCGCGTGACAAGAGTTTCAGGAGCCTTCCATGTTCGCAGTGCCTCAGCGTCCATCTTAAACCAACGACCAAAATCTCACGACTCACTTTGGGAGCCCCGGGCAGCAAGCTATAGCCGATAACTATGGGCAGTGACGAGGTGTGTGCGGGACCTCACGGCTGGTCGTGACCCTAAGCCCTACAAACCCAACAGGCCAGAAACCGTGCTTTGCTGCACGATTCGACGTTGCACTTTGAAGATGTTAAGGTTTATGCCCCATAGAACTATTATTGCGCCACGCCCATACAGCCCTTCGCAAAGAACGCAGTGTGTTACCAGAAGCCCTTACGTCAGGAGACCAAGTGGAACCCGAGTTCTTGGAAGCGTATGGACACTTGGACTGTCAGTGAAAGGGAATTCGGGTGCTTGTTGAAGGTGCTCAGGCTGTTGATGAACTGTCGGGTTTCGATTCAGTTCTCTTTGCATGCTGGGCTAGTTCTCACTAATGTATGTATGTATACATATATATATATATACATATACATACATACATATATATACATACATATGTGTATATATATATATGTATGTATGTATGTATGTATGTATGTATGTATGTATGTATGTATGTATGTATGTATGAATGTTTATGTATACATATATCCATACCTATGCATGTGCGTATGTATATGCACATACATACAAATACAAACATCGGCTTAAATGGACTCAATAGATAGAAAATTACTTTTCGTAATTTTTACAGACAGCTGCATACACATTATTTAGATTATTTGGTTTTTAGTGCTTGTTCACTTACTTACTTGTTTATGTAGTTATTTGTTTATACTTGTACACGTATACCTACAGCCTGTGCGTCAGGTATTGCTAGTGTTGCCAGGCAACTGTTTCGATTTTCGAAGCGTACCGAAACGTGCCCGGAGCTGCAGGCACCTAACACGCCCAAAGCCGTATCACTTGCCAGGACTTCAGAGGTTTCCCGGCGTGATCTGCAACGTAGTGGCTCCTTGTAGCTTTATCCGCAGCTACTTCTGAATCGCGGAGTTTTGAAGGAGCTTCCTGAGATTTTAACGAACGCTTCCCGAAAGCCTGAACCCGAACCCTTGAACCTTAGCCTTAGCAAGGAGAAGCAGCAAAGAGCTTGCGTTGCGGCACCACCGCCCCGAGGCCTAGGATGTTTGCATCTCCCAGGGTTTTTTGGGGGTTCAGACCTAGGGTTTAGGGGTTTAGGCCTCTGAGTCCGCGAGAGAGAGAGAGAGAGAGAGAGAGAGAGGTGAGGGGGGCTTGTTCTCCCTTACCCCTAGCCCTGGTGAAAGAAAGAGAGAGAGAGAGGGATGTCAAGCGTTCGTCCTGGCGGAGTCGCAGCAGGCCAGTTGCAAAAAGGGATTAGGCTTGTCCCGTGGGGTTTGGCTCAAGGCTTTGGTCGAAGGCCCTTGCTTGGGATTTGTGGATTTCCCGCTTTCTAAGCGGCCGTGGCAGGATCAGGATCCTCGACATTGGAGCCGGTGCGGGCTTCTCGGAAGAAGATGAGCTGTACAAAGTGGTTTTTGGATGTATCTAAGACTCTAAGACTGTAGGAAGCTCACAGCACATGCAAGCCTCCTCCGCAGCCCACTTCATCTCTTCAAGCTGGCTTTCGGTCTCGGCTTTCTTTTCGCCAACTTCAGGCTTATGGGTAGGGGACTCTGTAGTTCAATTCAGCACGTATGACTGCCTAAACATGCAAAAGTGCTTGAAGCTTCTGTCAGGGAGGGCGCCGAATTCTAAACTCCAATCCTCAACCCGCAACAAGCCCCAAGGAGGAGACCTCCGCTACATCCGCCGGGCCCTGGATGCAGCAGATCTGTCGCTGACGATGGTGGAGGAAGCTACATAATATGCACGTCTTGTGTTCGGGGTGTTGGTTTCGGGCTTTGGGGGTTTGGGGTTCCCGGTTGAGGTTCGCTTTTAAATAGCTTCAAAGAGCCAAAATGCTGCCGTCACAGTAGCAAGGAAGCTTGAATGCCAGATGCCCAAAACTCTGACGACCCGAAACAACATACTCTAAACTTGAAGCCCGTAAGCAGCCAATTGGTTCAATTGGTGCTCTGCTGCAGGTGGTCGCAGTCGAACCCAACCAGTCACTTTGTCGCAGGATTGGGGCCTCAATAACCGAACTAGAGTTTTCTGTGTTTTCTTGATTGAATATGTTTATTACGGTTCTTTTTTGCGGCCTTCATGAACGAATCTCTTGATGGGGTGGTTTAGGGTTATATATATATATATATACACATATAATTATTTATCTATGTATCTATATATATATATATACACACACACACACACATATATATATATATATATCCATACCATGTCAGTATGGGGCTACAAGATTCTATAAGGGGATACGATCTTCGGTTGCGCAGGTGCGCTTGGCAGGCAGGCTCGTCAATCTCTCATCGATCTCTCTTCTGGCAACGTTTCCAGAGTTCCAGAGGCCCGGAAGTACCTGCACCTAAGCCTCACGCAGTATGTGTGCTTTGCGCTCTCCCAGGCTCCCAGCGCTCACATGTCCTCCGACAGAAGATGATGACAGGGGTCCTGCATCCCAAGCGAATCAACTCCAAAAAGAAGCCTAAACTTAGGTGCGCTTGGCCCCACCTGGAGCAGGAGCAGAAGCGATGGCTGTCGGATGTTGCCGATTTCCGGCTTCTGCCTGACATGTCAACATTATATTTGGAAGCATCTTTGCCTGCGATCTGGATATCTTGTTTCTTCGTGTTTTTGGGCATTGTTGCAGCCACAGCCACTGCCGTAGGATGATATTAGTCCACGCAGTTGCTGCGTTTTACAATTCGACCTCAGTCCCAACCACATGCTCAGCGGCCATTTACTAGCGCACCTAAGTGGTTGCATCGCTTTATTGTCCTGGGAGAACCGTTTTCGACCCGGGTCACCTAAAAAAAACCTTCTTTCCTGTCCTTCATCTTTGCTTGTCAAACATTGACAGCATTCAACCATGAAGCTTCAGCACAGTGAACCTGACCCCGAGTCCATCTTTAGCTCCTCCTTCCGATCCGAAGACTAAACAGTTGAATGTGCCCCGAAGTCCTCGTCCAATAATTGAAGCCGCCATACAACCCGGTATAGTACCCTTAGACCCCCCCTTAAAGGAAGCCCTGTAGTACCCTTGTCAGGCTTGAAATCATCCTGAAGGGCTTCCCTAAACCCCAAACCCCCAAAACCCTAAACCCTAAAGCCTAAACCCTAAACCCTAAAACCCTAAACCCGTTCTCTGCCATGCGGGAGGGAAAAGCCCTAAACCCAAAAACCCTAAAACCCTAAACCCTAAACCCCTAAACCCTAAAACCCTAAAGCCCTAAACCCTAAACCCAAAAACCCTTACAGGCAGATGGCTTCGACCTGGCGGTGCTCCAGCATGTTCTCTGCTGTGCACAGCAGCCGGGGGATTTGCTGGAAGAAGTCCGAGCAGCCTTGAAGCCAGGCGAGTTGGACGAACTCAGAAATGTGTATATATGTATATATTTAGATAATTATAAACAAATCAAAGCATAAATAAATCAAGAAATTAACAACTAATTACGTGTATATATACAATCACCTACATATATCTGTATATGTGTATCTTCCCCGTGTTACTGTAACATCTGTAGCTGTTATGACTAGCCACGAACCAGTCTAGAATGCGAAACGATGTATTGTTGCAGGTGGTCAGCTGGTTTTCGTTGAGCATGTCGTGGCCGACAGTGCCAAAATGCCCTATCTCCTGGCAGCTCAAGTCGCGTTGCGCCCTGTTCAGCGGGCCTTATGCAACGGCTGCCGGTCGGAAAAGTGCCTTTCACGTTTGGGCGCAGCTGACACGGTGATGCTAGCCACTGGCTTGGGGCACTAGCGAATCCGATGCAACGAAGACCCGAGAAAAGACCGACAACAAAGGCGCAACGGAAGTCTACAGAATCGAAAACTGAGGACAATTTGAAACGTCTTGGCGGGAGCTAACCCAGTCAAACCCTGGAGACTTTGCTTCGCAGCACCAAGTCCAAGATGAGAAGCCCAAAGCCCAGGCTGCGATCCGTGCCGCGATAGCGAGCGGCTTTTTGAAAGCCAAGTCTTCGAGGTTCCTTTGAGGATGTTTTGGGCTTCGTGTTGAGCGTTTGTTGTTGTTACAGTTGGGTTCAAGTTTGAGGCTCAGGGTTTGAAGTTGAGTAACGGAGCATTGGCTTCAGAGTTCGAGCTTTTCCGACTGGCGTCAAGACAGGCTTCTACGCTTAAGGTTTTGGGGTTTAGGCTGGTGCCTGTCATCTGATGCGATTGGTTTTTGGCAGAGAGGGCGCATGTAAAGACTCCGTATTGCTTCTTCTACTCGTGTTCCAGACGTCTTCATCCACTGGACAGACTGCACCGTCCCGAACACTGAACCAAACTGTTAACACTCCATAGACTAAACGTTCTATACTACTATGCACTATTTCACCCGTTTACGCCTGCATCTGAGGAGGTGAAGCTGAAGCGCTTCAGCTTGCCGGTGCTCGGAGTTCCCATACCGCACATCAAGGGCGTCGCCCTGAAAAGTGAAGCCGACCTCACCAAGACATGGCGTGCGCCGTTGACTGTCGAAGAGTTTCTTTGAAGTCGGCCGTAACATGGCCTGAAACTCCTCTGCCTGATCTGGCGAGCGTGGATGTCAGCTGCAGCTGTCTTCAACTAGATGATCGCCAAGCCCAGTCCTGCTTCCAGCTCCCGGCGCGCACCCGAAGTTGCGGCCAGCGGTCGCCCAGCTTGCATGAGCAGACAAGAGCGCGCCCTCAGTCTGACAAAAACGCATGGCTAGCGGCATGTGGCTGCTCAAAAAATCATCATAAGTCATGTCATAAGTGCAGAGGCATGTTTGGGTGTGCTTGACGCAGGTGTAGCCCTCCAGCGGCAATGATGCCTGCCACGCACTCGGGGTCCGCCGAAGTGGTTCAGGGACTTGCAAGTTAATGTTTACGGAGTATAACCACCGCCCGTACCAGCCCGAAACTGTAATCCTCAGTGTGAGTGTAAACAAACCCAATGTCCTGCATGAGGAAAATTCGGGAAAGAGCTTCTCCTTAGCCTTTAACCCTTGCTACTTGTACAATCCCTAACATAATTCCTGCAAGCCCCAAACATGAACCTTTCGTTCCCATTGCTCGTGCCTTGCTGCTGGGTTGCGCTACTTTGGTTGTCTATGTTTTGTTTCTTGTCAGATTTGAAATCCTTCACTGATAGGCTTGGTGCCCTAGTCCGACATTGGACCTAGGCATTCATCCTACAGTAAAGTGGAGGTTGCAAAGGCTCATAGACATCAGTGCGGCCTCGTCGTGCACGTCGAGCTGCAAGAAAGTTCTGAATGTGCGTGTTTGTATGTCAGTATGATGTGTATATACACAATCATATGTATATAAATATAAGTATAAATACATACATACATACATACATACATACATACATACATACATACATATATATATATATATATGTATATGCATTCTCTACACTTGTTTATTAATGTTTATATTTGATTGGAAGAGAGAGACAGCGAGTTGACGCCTTCGCGTGCGATTTGCATGCAACTTCTCTCCCGCAACAGGCGGGTGTGCACTTGCGCACGGTGGAGCGCACTTGCTGCACGCAACCGTGCGTGCATGCACGTATGCATACCTGCGTGAACGCAAACAGTAATGCAACAAAGCATGGCGAAATGAAGTATGACCTACTGCATGTGATATCATGTACAGAGAGGGCAGGCAGAGGCAGCGAGAGAGAGAGAGAGAGAGTTGCCGCTTTGGCTCAAGACAGGCCAGAATGCCCCTGGTGCATGATGAAGGAGCGCGGCAAAAGCTGAGTCGTCGCCGCGTTTTCTTTGAGTCTGTTTTAGCAACCGTCCCGGGAAGGCGGCCGGCATGCACAAGACGTGCGGAGAGAAGCTCTTTCAGCAAGTTTAGTGGCACGTCGGTTTTGGCCCCGCAAAGGCCTTCAGAAGCGCATGAGCACCAAACGTCAGCCGTATAAGGGCTCCTGCACCCGGCGCGTCAACGCCGCAATCGGCATGGCCAACACATTGGGGAGACCGCTTGTGGTCATGGCTGACGATGTGGGAGTGCGGCGGCTCGTGGATGGAGAGCCGAGTACCTGGGCTGACAGCTCCCCTTGCAGGCTGCTGCTGCCATGATATGGACGAACGTGCAGGCAATGGGTACCAAGCTCGGCGGGCCGCACATCCTTCCCAACGTCCCAACGTTCGTCTGCAGCTCGAGGCACCGGCGACTTCTTTGTGCTGGCTCCGGAAGTCAGGCTTCGCTGGAATGAGGCAGCCAATCCGAAGATGGACTTTGACATATGTGCGCAGGTCTTGCAGTGTGGCCCACTCGTGCCTCAACCGGCTGTCAGTGCCTGCGGTTCACTATAAGGCTGGCGGCTACGGGGAAAAGGACGCGAAGCGCCGAAACAAGGACATGAAGGCTCGTGACTATCTGCGAGCAGTGGAGGGCTGCCAACCGCGAGGCCATCTTCTGCGGAATCCGTGACGATGAGCAAGTCATACTATCAAGTCCACCTGCTTCGAGGACTTGAGTTCATCCGTGGCTATACGATGCAGAGCGTGGCAAGCGCGTTGCAAAGTTGATAAAGGTGCTGCAAGACACCGTGGTTCCAGCAGCAAGGGCTGAAGGAGAAGCAAGGCAAGCCGCCGCGATGAAGACCAGCCGGAAAAAAGGCAGCCCATGCGCCACCAGCGAGGGCGCGCCCTCCATGGCCGCAAGTGCAACCCCGCCGCAAAGAAGAAGGAAGTTTCTTCGGCGATGCTTTGCGTGCGTACGTCGTTGCTCTAAGGACAGGCCTGTTTTTGTGCGTCACCAGAGTGGTTGAGTTGTACTATCGTGCCTTAGGTCAACTGGTCGTTGCATGTTGCTCTTTTGTGCAACCCGGTGTGGATGCGGGGGCTGGCCAAGCCTTCTTCAGTTGTTTGGTTAAGTAGTTTTTTTGACTTTTCGTTGGAATTCTTGAGTTGTTCGTGGAATTCCTTTTGGTAAACCCTTCCCGTGCACACAAAAACTGGGACAGTTTAGCTTTCTCTAGTTTTTTATATTGATTCAATTTTTCAGCTTTTCATGGGATTTCATTGGCATTGGTTGGGCTTTTGGTGGAGTCCACATTTTCCCAGAAAAATCCACAAAACTCCTCGAAGAATCTTGAACAAATCCTACGATGACGGGCCAAGCAAGTGAGGCGGAGGGAGGGACGGCGAGGGGAGGCGAGCTGGAGTTGGAAATGGGGGGCCCGGATTTGATGACCGCCCGGAACCCTCAGCTCTGTACCCCAAAAAACCCTAAACCCGCAGCCCTAAATCCTCGGCCCTCCATCCTAAACACCGGGAACCCCTGCACCTTAAACCACAGTCCCAGTCACATCGCCAACGAAAGAGCGAAGCGAGAGCGAGGCGATGCGCACTAATCTCCCAGTGCGTGACACCTCGCAGGGGGCAAAACTCGCTAAGAAGAAGCGAGAGCGAGAGCGGAGGGCGGGTGTGTTCGAGAGAGATGGTTGTCGATGTAATGATGGCTTCTTGTAAGAATATGGTCTCGTAGACATGGTAAAGAGTAGAAGTCTGCCAAGCTCGAAGGATCTCGAAGGCTCGCTTGGTTCCAAGCCGGCACAGATATATTCAATAAGTAGGCAACTCGTTACCAAACAACATGGGCATGGCGACAGCGCCGGCAATTGGAGCGGTTCGGCTATGAAGAGCAGTGCTGAACACAGGATGAGCATCATCGTAACGCCAAGGATGGTGATGATGAAGATGGTGATAACAGCGATACCAACATCGCGCAGTCGGAAGGATGAACCCGAAATTCCTCCCAAAACCGAAACCCGGAGCTTTTCTGATTGTATGATGTTGAGAGCGTAAACCCCCAACCAAGCGTTGTTGAGACATGTGGGAATCGACAACCCTGCATTAAGGGTTTATAAAGAATCCCATCAAAAACCACAAACATGGAAGACCATGAACCAAAGAAGCGGAACCCTATCATTGAGGCTCCTGAGCCCTCTCCGACAAACAGAGATCAATCGCCGGTGGCGGAGCGCTCCGGCCAGGGTCCTGGCCAGCCTTCTGCAAGCGTGGGGGCTATGCGAGTTGCTTAAAGGCTTAGGGTCTAGGATTTCGGGTGTAGGGTTTAGAAATGGGTTTAGGGTTTGAGGTTTAGGGGGGTTCCATGAGCGGGCATTTAATAAAGGTATTGTAAGGGTCCCATAAGGGCTTTGCAGGGGTTCTGTTCACTGTTCCCTCCTGAACGAGGCTTTCGGGTTCAGTGATTTAATTTGGTCTCACGGGGCAAAGACTTCTTAGGTACTCCTGCCCCTTTTGAAGGACCTCGATTCGGATATACCGTTTCAATGCATTTCTTTAAGTTGTGGGAATTGAAGTGTCGGCTGTAGGGTTTAGATGCAGGAATTCAGAAAGAGTTCAGTTATGAATGTATACAGGTCAGGTTGAGGTTTATGCGCACTGCGTTCCCGGATATAAGATTCCCTGCTCAGCCAATTCGTTTGGGTTTCTTCCAGGCGGCAGACATTTGGGGCAGTTGAACGACATCGGATCACGGAAACAGGAAAACTCACAGGCACAGTAGCAGCGGATCGTCGAGCCTTTGGACAGACAGCCATCACTGCGATCATCCACTTCTGGGCTTTCAGGGGCGCAGGTGTCCAGACATTGGGTTTCTGTAGCACCCAAATCAGCACATGGTGGTTTGTATGTTGGCTGCTTCTGATTGCTACTCGTCGTGCATCACCGCCTAAATGAAGGAAGCTGCTGCGGCGGATGCAGCCTTGCGCTTGCCTCGACGACCATGGTGCTGTTGATCGCTGCAGCACCCTCAGACTTGTGTACTTAGCCTACAGTCGCGGGTTCAGGGGGATCGTCTAAACCGTCTGATGTCGTAACTACTGGCATGGTCTACTGAGAGTCTATTGGTCAGCAGCTAGCAATAGGACAATCTCGACTAGCCAGCGATTTTCAGACACACGGCGAGTGCAGCTACTGTTTCTGTGTACCTTTTTTTCTTGGCATAGTTGCAGCTGCCACTACCACACGGTCATTGCCGCACGCTAGCTCGGGTCTTTTCCAGGTAGCAGCCGTAGCCAAGGTCGAATGACGAGGAAAAAGCAGTTAGAGCATGCGGGTAGGAGTTGGCACTCCCTAGCAGGAAGAAGAGGTGGAAGCGGTGGTGGTGATAGGGTAGGGTAGCAGTCGTTTATCGCACTGGCATCATCGCCTACGCTGTGACCCGTAGCCGTCGGGCCGCAAGTGATCTTGGAAAGCTAGGAGTCGCGGGAGTTTGACACCTCCGGCAGGAAGATCTTTTCGATCAGCGTCATGACGAAGCAGCTCGAAGGGTCAAAGCAGGCATCGCACCTCGGAGCTCGCATGTCCCGACGCAAGACTGACGGGGACTCACGGATGCTGGACCTCGGAGAGTTTCCGGTCTGCTGCACTTCTTCGGTGGAGACAGGCAAGATCGTTCACCGCCGCCGCCGACAACCCAAAGGAGGGACTCTCCATCAGTACATGACAGCCCGCCGACCATCACAGCCGGAGTGTTTGAC